TTTCGCAGAAATCTCGCTGTAGTCGTTTTCGTCGACAAAAGGAATAGCAAAATCGCTCTCCGCGTCTTCCCCCATTTTGTTCTGCGTCATTTCGTGAAGGACGCGTGGCTCTCAGCGTGGGTCATCCACGCGGAACACATTCGCGCTATGTGATTGGCTGTTGTTTAATCCCCCTTGAGATCTGTGGTGTTAAAAATAACTCGAGACGAATTACCTATGGAATAGGGTGTATATGGGGGATGGCCTCTCTGTCCCCTTTATAGTCTCTTGTTGATACTAGTTTCGTACTATTCACTCTCATTATGATGTTTTTACCAGGTTCTTAAAAATGTTTCCTCAACACTTGTTGCAGTTCTTGTCAAGGGCGGAGCCCATCATCTTGACCTAAGGTATTTTCGTTATAATTTCGCCTCCCCAAAAAATCTACATGGCTTATTATAGAAAAGATATCCTGCCGTTTAAGATTATTTTGTTAATCTCTCTTCCTGATTCGTAAAGCACTTGCATACTAATATTTGCGGGTGATTATGATTTTGTAATTTCAATCCAACTTCAAGCAATTTGGCCCTCTTATCAGAGCACGAGTTAAGGAAAGAGATTTAAAAATTATTGGTCCATGCATGTGTACTGATAAGCAACTCTAAACCGCATAATCAACGGTCGAAAGGACCTTCCTGTATTCAATATTCTGTTCCTATACTCTACGAGGCGCTGTTGTTGACCAGCAAAGGACTTGAAATGCCGTTTATGGAGACGGGAAAGGCATAAAAGAGAAAAAGTAAAATTTCTGGACTCCACCCAAGTCCTGCACAGGCGCGGATCTAGAATAAATACTAACCGATTTCCTAAACGAGGGCCGGAAGTGAAAGCTTGCAAACCGGTATGGATCCGCGCCTTCTGCGGTCGCGTGGCCGTGAATGGCGATAGGTTAAACAACTTTACATGGTAATAGCATTCTGTGACAAAGGCACCAACTCAAGGCTTGGGTAAAACAAATGCAGTGCTCTGTATGAAACTACATACTATCACTCATCGAGGGAAAGATCCATTGAAATACTTTCATACTTTGTTCTAATATGTATTATTGTTTTTTATTCAGGGCATCCAACCCTCAGGATCCACCAACCGTCACAGAAGCCCGTCAGCAAGAACTGCAACTAATTCGACAGTTCATAGACTAGGCCAACTCCCTGTATTAAAATAAGTCATCAAAATAAGTGGCTAAGAAATACAACTTACTCATGATGGGAAGCGTTATGATAAATAAGTCCAAGTGTTAGTTTTTCAATAGGTGCAAGGCAGTGCAGTGTGTCAGAAAAAGTAAGCAAGAAAGGCACGTTATTTTCAAGTGTAACTTTTACTGCATGAAGATGGAGTTGTTATAATAATGGTTGAATAAAAGGGGTCAAATTTGTTTTTAATTTGTTTGTCCAAATCAGTCTTTTATTTTCCTAGAAACAGCGAACTGATTTTATCGCAGAACTTGAAACCAGTTTGTTCGTAGAAAATGCTCACGGAAAGGCTGGTATGAGTTTATCACACAGCAGGCCTTTTTTTCACCATAATTGCAAAATCTGTCAGATTTCCGTTCCGAGAGTAGTCAGCTGTTCTTTTAGAGCCTAAACTGCGAGCAGTCTCTTATTTTTCTTTGCAAAGTTACTGCACGAGAAACCCAAGCATGCGAGCTGCGAAGCCGCGAGCCGCGATAACGAGAAGAGAAAAATCAGAAGAACTAGACGGATTTTAAGGGGTAAGGCGGAGTGCAAGCAGTCTCTTAGAGCCCAACAATTGGTAGGAATGGCAGATTTTGCTCAGTCTGTGTAACGCTTTTTCTGGATGAAAGCAGAAATCTTTACGACTTACAGATTTTTGTTTTGATTAATTACTTCTCTTCCACTAAGCTTAGAGGTCTTTCTATGTTTTTATCATCTCCGGCTCTGCTTTATGCAATTGCAATCGTTACCACTATTGTCTGGTAGCCTTCGAGTGTCACAGCACTCGCTGTTGTACGCAGTAAGAATATTTTTTCTCTGTGCTTTTAATTTAGAGTTAGGGGGGTTGGTCCTACAGTCTTGGGACCCTCCTTGTAGCTGAGTAGAAAATATACTTTACTACTAACGTTTTTCCAGTCAATTCTTGGAATTTAGCTTCCTCTGTAGACTGTAAAACAGTCCGCTTTTTTTGCGTATTCAAGTAAGCGCGAGCAGTCAAACAAAAGGTCTGGAACGAGGCTGAAAACAGAGAGCGCTTCGCGCCCGTAACGCTTACGCCACGCTTTACCGATTTCTTTACTGACTGTACTGATTACAAGCTGTTCAAAATGGTCACACGTGCTGAAGGGAAGAAAAAGAGCAAACGATGTCTAAGAAGTGGAGTCATCTGTTCAGTACGCATAAGGAAACCTCCAGACTGTTATGGTGAATGGATTACAAATAGTGTAAAGCAAATATATCGAAGTCCGCTTGAAGATGTTGGATGGCAAGCAAAGAAGGAACAAGGACTGGATAATCATACTGAGACAAAAATTGCAAATAAGGCTAGAACATTTTGGACCTCTGAGATCTTTTAGGAAGGGGATAGTGTAATGGGACATTTTGTGCTCGACATATAGCGAAGGATAAAATGGAAAAATCACACCCATGTAAAGTTTGTGAGCTTTTGTGGGACGGATTGATCTTATTTCTGGATCGGTATTTGTATATTCTCCGCTACGCGACTCCAAACTATTAATCTGTGCAAGATCACCCTTAAACTGTTGCGTGCCAATCGCATCAGGGAATTTTTGAGAGAATTTTAACTAAGGTAATAATTCTATTGAATTCAGACAATTTGTTTTTTACTTTTATGGGGACCGAGCAACATATCGAGGAATCACAATCCTGATTGTGCAATCCTCAGGCTAACAGGCTACCTGTACAGCTCTGGGTTGTTCAAAGCTGGGTTAAGATAACCCGGCCTATAGCTTAGTGCGAAATTTAAATTCAGATTTGAAAGGTTAAAACAAAAATTCAGTTAATTTAATTCTTCTTGCCTACAAATTGATGATTGGATGCTCTCTAAATAGAATAGAAAAAGTTTTCTGAGAAGATACTTTAAAAAAAGAAAAGAAATATAAACGGAATTAAAATTTAACCCCGAGTTAGCTCTGATCGGCCTTGGAACAACTGGGCCTAGAAGATTAAAATGCATTGAGCTGTCTGTAGTTATACACCAGCTGTTATATCATTTTTTATTGTTCTAAAGTATTTGAAACCATTATAAATTATAAAGATTATAAAGATAAGCTTCAAAAAAAAAATATGAATATAACTTCAACGTGCCAGTTGGAAGCTGTGGCATCAGCGTTTTGCTTCTGGTCATAACTAGTTAACGTTAGTTCTCGTTTGATTACCTTTCCTTGGACAAATACCTGATACACATACAATCTAACATACACACCTATATTGTAATTGTAACAGAAGTTAAGCTAGTCTGATGGCCAGAGATTAAACGATCGATGAAGAGCCGTTTTTAAGGATGAAGCACCGGACTGCCCATGGGCCCTTACTCCACGAACGATTGCAATTGCGACAATTGCATGATTGAACAATTGTGCTGGCCCCTCTGGAGACCAACTTTTACTTCCATAAATAACTTTTGCGCAATTCACATGTACCGAAGGCCAAACTGGTTGTAGGCCCGGGGGCCACTCCCATATGAAAGGGGCGGGGATGCTAGTAGCAAATTTCGATTTAAACCCCTAAAGAAGACCAATCTGGGCGTGGCCAAACCTTTTTTTGATCCCTAAATAACAAATACAGCGACTTTAATGGTGGCAAAGACATCATCATCGAATCCTGACTTTCATCCATAAGTTGTTTTAAAAAGCATCGTCATAAATCTTTAGTTCATCATAGTCGCTTCTTTTATCGTTGGCACTTGGTGGAACAGCAAACTTGAAAATGTTGAAAAGAACTGTAAGTGCAATATATCATTAAACAATATGTACATCATACACGAAAGACTACGAAGGCTGAAAGCTGTTAGTAGCCAGTCAGATTTTGTATCTACGCCTTTGCACGTAGCTTACAATAATCCTGATATACGACATACACTATTATGTAAAGGCCAGTACAGGAAAATGTCTACTCATCATTTTTTATATCGAGTTTCGTATTACCCTAACCATGGACAAAGACATTTTGTTACAATGTTCTTTAGGTATTGATGTTATAGAAAACTTTGATTACATGAATCAAGTAAACAAAACGTGATTGAAAGTATATACTTTTTTATACTTCTTCACGTGCAAAAGAGATCTTTACGGCTAAATATAATGGCATATTGCCCAGGACACCCTAAGTGAGACCAAAATCCGAAATTTTCACCCCTAAGCGAGACGATGAGCACAGCTGCCCTTTAATATGCCCCCCCCCCCCCCCCCCGCACCTGTGGGCGGAGCGCGACGGGAGAATTCACTAATCTAAAAAAAAACACACACCCACCCAAAAAAAAACAACAAGTGTTGGGTGGGTGAATGTTTGCTGAGCAAAAAACAAAAAAAAAGACACACACTCACAGGCACATCACCCCCCCCCCCCCCCGGGGCTTGTAGGCTAGACGTGACTGACATGTACGCTATAACTAACAATTAGCAGCTCCCCATCATGAAAGAATGCCTAGTGTGTGAGCTTGAAATCGTTGCCGGCGAAAATCTATTAAAAGGCGATCATTCCAGCTAGCGACCCCTAGAGGTTTAAAAAAAGATTGGTTGGGAATTTTTGTCTCCTGGACCAGGCGATATATATTCTCCTCTAATCCTAGCGTTTGTTAAGTTCACTTAGACTATTTTGAGTAAAATGCTGCTGCTATCGTTGAGCCGTGAGCTCCTTCTCATTTCCGCTTTTCGGAGAGAAGAAGCACGCTGGAAAACTGGTGACGAGTTGCCTGGTGATATCTTCGTTACCGCCATGATTGTTGTAGAAAGAGGCGGAAAAGTAGTTTTTTAAAGTGCGATAGTTATGTCCACTAGCTGTCAGCATTACATAAGACGTTGTTCCTTACTGGTAAGTTTCTCTGATTCTTATTTTATGTCGCATATACTCGAAAAAAACGTGAACAGATTTACTGCACTACAGTAAACAATAATTCACTTTGCTGAAGAAGCGGTGGATTAGTTTAGCTCTAATACCACACAAGATACTGGCGTCATCTTGGAGGATTAAGTCATTTTGTAACTCAATTATTTTTACTTGTTTGCCTTACTTCGATTTGATAAGGTATACAGTGCATAAAAAGCTTAGTTGAAACATGGAAGCAGTGCAAAAACTGGCGCAACCTCACCTGGTCTTTTAGGTTTTTTCTTGGTTCTCGTGTGTGTGTGAGAGAAAGCGAGGCGCGAATTCAAGAAACAAAAACCTACAAAGTACGTGTATTTAACTCTAGATCTCACGTGAAATTCTCCATGTACATTGCTCCTTGGTTTCAGACCAAGTTCTTTAAAGGGCTAATTAGTATTTGGAAGGGATCTCTACTGGTTGTTTCAGGTCACAAGCAAAATAAAATATTCACAACCGATCTGTTTGGGCTTTATGGTACATGTACCTTGCCTTTGGCTCACCATGGTAACTGCCCACACAGATCAGCTTCACATGGTGTTTTGAGTACTTTAAAGTGTGGTTGTTTCAAGCTGTATCTGATTGTCTTCTTTTATTTTGTGTGATCACTTGACTCTTGATCAAAATGGAAATAGTTAAACCCCAGCTTTTATTTAACCACTCGACTGATCTAACTTAAAGAAATTTCTTAGAGTACAATTCTTAATTTCAGGTGAGCACATTATTACTCTGCTACACTGGGTGTATGGTTAATAAACAAACAACAGTTCAAAGTTCATCCTACTATAGCATTTAGCTTGCATTGTGTAATTGGTCTTCAAAGTACTGTGTTTGAATGCATCCTTTATTGTTTTGTAGGTCGCCTTAGAAATTTTTGTTTATTAAGCAAGGGTATCTTTTTTGATTTGTGTCCATAGGCACCATGCTGTGTTAAATACTACAGCTGCAGATTGTGTCATAATGACAAAGAAGATCATGAGTTAGACAGAAAGACTGTTCAGGAAATTAAGTGCCTCCAATGTGGCAGTTGTCAAACAGTAAGTTGTAGCCTTTGAAATAATGTAACTGCAGGGTTTGCAAATGTTATTGATTGGTGAGGTCAGTGTGACTTGGAGTCACGTAACACAAGGGAGAGAAGAACTGTTTAAAAACGGTTCTTTACTCAGTCTTTTTTACGAGGATGCCATTCCAGCACATAGTTCTGGCATGTATACAGTGTACACTATTATGATGGCAACATGAAGTAGCTAGACAGCCTCATGTGAAAGTCCGTTGTCCTGGAAAAGCTAGAATCCATCATGATGATCGTCGTTTGAGTAGTCTGTATTGTGATTTAGCCTGTAGGTGTACATGTTGTAGTTCAATTTTATCCTTGGTTTAATTTTTATTTTCCTTTGTTCTAAACTCATTATCGTACATTACCATACCCCAAAACAAAAGAAAATAAAAATTAAACCATGGATAAAATTGAACCACAACATATACATACATGAATAATCCTTAAATTGGTCTGTTTAAATCACGGTTGTGACATTTGCAGTTAATGTAGATGTATTTGTTTTGAAAAAGGTAAGGAAAAAACTATTTTGCAACCAAAAATTTCTGGAGTCAAAGTGATTCCCTCTGTAACCTCAGTGGAGTCATCTTGAAAATTTTGGAATAAAGTACGCCAAATTTGGCATATTTGTGAACCCTGTGACTGAATATATGACTGCCTGATCTTGTAAAAAATGCTGATGATCTCATTTTAGTGTGCTTTATTAGGGACAGATCATACAGAAATATCAAGCAAGACTGTAGTATTTCCCGGTAAAGGGCAGGCATGCAATTACGCTAATCAAAAATAGCACTACATTTGAAATTCAAAATTGGTGAAAATTTTGTTGTTTGAAAATGTAAATGTTTCAGCTCAAAATTAAATTCAGGTGAAAATTTTTTAACCTAGGTTGATTCTCCATTTCCCTTGTCTCCTAGCCATGATTATTCAGGAATAAGGGCTAGGAGACAAAGAAGTGAGAATTAAACTAGTTTAAAAATTTTACCTGAATTTATAAATTTTGACCTGTTACATAAACATGCCTTACACTAGTCAGTTTTGTTTTCAACCCAAAGATTACAATAGGTAAAGGTTTAGCCATAGAGAGAACAGGAACAATAATAACTGATATTATATTGATGACCTCATTGTTTTGTCTTGAAATGTAACTAACCGGATAATGCTGTTGTTGACTTGTATTTTGTATTTCTCGTACATTTACTAATTCAAGTGCTTAACTTCCTTTATGAATGCAGGTAGCATCTCATTGCAAAGAATGTGGTATAAAGTTTGGTAGATATTTCTGTATGATCTGTCGATTGTATGATGATCAAGAAAAGGGACAGTTTCATTGCAATGGTTGTGGAATTTGCAGGTGTTGTGATTATGTGCACTGTTATTCAGCAGTATTTGTTGAATCCACTTTTATCATAAGCTACACATTCAGTGATAAAAAGGTTACAATATTATTTAGGTAAGCATTACTGATTCAGTGCGCATACACGCAATTTAGTTTTAACACAAATCCTAGCCTGTTGTTGAAAACCTAAAAGAAAAACCAGTATTATGCTGCATATATATATAAAAAAGGAAAACAAAAAACAGAAAAAGTTGTAAATACATTGAAAAGTCCCATAGCTACAGTGTAGAGTTAACTGATACAATATAGCTGTATGGCAGTTAGCTTGGAAGATTAGTTACATTATATTATGACCTTAACAGCTATACACTGTACGTACTATATTTTGCCTAAAAAGTTCCTACAATTTTTAGTGTTTGGATCTCCTTGGTTGTTGTTATTGAAAGTGAGTCAGCAACAAATCTGCCAGATTTCTTTTTGCATTCAACATTTTTGTCTTCACTGACGTGTGGCCAAACTACTTTATTCTACTATATTTTACATCAGAGTTGGTGGAGAGGAGAACTTCTTTCACTGCAGTAGATGTGACATGTGCTTAGGAATTCAGCTGAAAAACTCACACAAGGTAAGAAACAATACCGGTAACTCAAGGTGTCTGCTGAAATGGATTTGTGCAATTAAGCTCAGTTGGACAGAAATCACATCAAGTCAAGTCACTCGTACATTAGTTTTTGTATGATTTTATTGCAATATCCAATCACTGATGTCATGCAAGACACCAGCATGGCAGTTTAGCTGTTTAATAGGCATGAGACTGCATGTAGTACAGAATAAAAAAAAAAGTGAAAATAGGTCACTGCTATCCGAAGATGAAACAGCAGCATTTTTTACCATAATTTCCCAATATTATTTTTCATACCCTATTTATGGTTGGTGTGATATCTTAACAATTTTACCGACCCAATACATGTAAATGTAATATGTAAATATTAGAAGGTCTGAACTGCAGAAAACATTGTACAATAAAATGATTTTTGTTAGATCACCTGGAGAAATAAGTTTTTGCACAATCTAAAGGCAACATTTTAGATTAGAAATGACTTGGTTGTACTTAGCCTGTAAAAGACAATGATACAGTATAGATATACTGTATATAGGCTACCATAGTACATCACTACATGTAGGTACATGTACTTATGAGAAAACTGAGCTTTGAAAGTTCTCTTAGGGATGCTGTATTGTTTCCATGGTAACTGTTATTACATGTTTATTTACATCTTAATAAGTTTTCTGCTATGATTGGTGTATATTACATGTAATTAAATTTTGTCCCTAGTCACCTTAGGGAGCACGTCCAAATATCGGTAGGGAACCCGATCATGGGAAATGGACCTGATTAATTTTCTGATTGTTTGGAATCGGTACCGGTCTGTAGGCACCAGTTGCCGTTTCTGATTACAATAAAAACTTTGCTGATTCAATCGGAGCCAGTTGACATTCCGATGTTCATATGTGTCATCATCATATTATTTTATCTGATATATAAAATGAAGTGTGTCACGAAACCAAATGATGAAAGAGTTGTTTCTCTCCAAAGTAATTTCTATCAACTGTACCTTTTTCCTACTCCATAACAAATAACAATATTTTATGTTCCTGTATGTTGTGTTTCGAGTTTTGATTTGATGTGTGCCTACACGTGATTTTCGACGTTTTGCAGAGGTATTTCCTTCAGTCGAACGCAAACACCACGCTGCTCCATAACATTTATTCTATGAAAATTAAAAGGAGTTAAATATTACGACTCAAAACACCACTGTTCTTCGTTGATACATAGCAAACAAAGCACCATACTGAGTAGTGTGTTCTTTACTCGATACTTTCTAACAATGCAATACAAAAACATGACCAGAACTCACTTTCTCGAAACTCAACTGGATGCATAGACTTGTTACAAGAAGACCTCAACGGGTTTCCTAGCAAGCGGAGCGAGAGCAAAACCATGGATAATATAAAACCCCGGGATGAACTTTTACGAAAATTTGCGTCTTTCATTCAACAATCCTAAACACAAGGTGCAATGCGATCTGAGGATTGTCTCCAGGGAATTAGCAAAAAGAACTGATATTCCCACACTCGTGAGTCACGGAAGACATGGAGCGAAGTTTCATACAGGAGTTAACAAAGAGAGAATGGCTTAATGGCTTAGCCACGTGAAATTGCTTTCCACTCTCAGCACTTAGGAAATTTTGCGCTTGACTCAAGGTGGCTGACTTTTTGCCAAAAATCAGAACCTTTTTTACCGGAGTGTTCAACTAAAGCAAACTGTGCATAGATCCAGTAAGTTTGACTCAATTTAATAGCAGAGAGAGAATCGAGAAAGAGAAAACCAGTTGAATGCCTCCTTCAGTCACTTTTTTGAGTTCATATGCAACCAATAAACAACTTGCAGCCTGATTCTCAGACGATGTCCTCTTCTCTCCTGTGGCAATTTAAGCAGTTAAAGTACACAACGTGGTAACAACATTTGCATTTTGGTGGTGGATGTTCTGACTTCTTTCTATTTTTTTCGCTTAAAGTCCTAAACTGATTATTCCTCCAAAGATTTTTATAATCATGCGTTTTGGGTTCTGGTTAGCACAGGCCCAAGCTATTTTAAAATTATCATTTTGAGATCGTACACTTGCAATGTACATTGCGCCGAATGACCTGCTGTTTCTTCTCGTGCCCATTTTGATACACAAATTTAATCTTTTCTGGTCATACTCTGTCATAGCAAATACAAACAAATGTTCGAAACTGTGACGTTAAATTTCGGTTCAAACAGGACACATTTACTGTATGAGAAAGATAAGGTTAATAATAAGAAGAAACACTTTATCTGCTGGTCTACAACATTTAAATTGGAAATTTAATGTGCTTGTGCATCAAAAAACAGTCATTCACTCTTTTGCTTTTGCTTTTGCTTTTGCTTTTGTGACAGGTTATTTGAGCTGCCACATATTTTTGATGACCTTTTGATGACCGTTGCGAATTCTGTTTCATTCGGTACCGAAAATCGGCATCAATTGATCGGCATCGGTGTGACCCGATGCCAATATTTGGACACGTTCCCTTAGAGACTCTAGTAGCACAGTAGTAGGACATCTGATAGATCTAGAACTTGGAGAGGGTTATGAGTTCAAATCTCATCTGGAGCTAGGAATTTTTTGAAGATTTCTGATGCTTTATTTCTCCTTTCTTTCTTTCTTTTTTTCTTTCTTGCTTTCTTTCATATTGTCTCAATGACTGTTTAAATATTTTGTTTTCAGTGCGTTGAAAAGAGTTCACGCTCAAATTGTCCAATATGCTATGAGGTGAGAGCAATTATTATTTCTTGATCAGATATTTTGTTTAGGACACATGCACTTCAGAGTTTAAAAAAATGATTATCATGGCATCACCTGTATGGAGCCCTCCCAAACAAAAGCGGCTGTTTCCTTGTGCTATTAGTCTTAACTCTTTGTTTTTGCCACCTGTGTGTGTGTGCTGACTAAAATTTCCATTTTTTTCTCTTGCACCTTTTGCAGAACAGCTACAAATAATTATTATGTAAAATGTCTATCAGTACATTTGTTTAAATCTGTTTTTCTTATACCCCGATATATGTAACGCCAGATAGCTAATGAGAAGGGAACTTCCTATAAACCAGCTGGTAAATGTGATTTTTAGGATAATTGTGATTTAGTTTTTATCATTATTGAACCCCAGCGTGTGACTTCAGCCACATAATCACAAGTTGTTTTTCTTTAAAAATGAAACATTTTAAGTTTATTATTTATTTTACTGCGCAACTATGAGAATTGATTTCTAATACATGATTATATTGATTTCACTCTTGGCAACCAAATTAAAATTCACGTGGTTACATTTCCTTCACCTTTTATGTATATACTAGATTGTTTCTATTTTTAATTTATGTAGTCCTTGCATTTGCCTAGCATATCTAATCTAACAAAACTGAACAAAATTGATTTCGATTGATTTTGGCAATGAGATAAAATTGGACATGGAATTGTTTGTGAGTTTGATTATCAAACAGATTGAATATAATCGAACTGAACCATTTGATTTTGTTTTCTTACCGAACAAATTGTTGATTGAACCCAAATCGTAGCCTCAATCTCGTCTAAGAAAGACTGATGTGTATGGTGAATACATAGCCATTTTAGCAGAATGGCAAATTGCTCTTTTTAGCAACAAACGAATATCAAACAACAACTGCAACCTTTCCAGCTAGTTTCATGTTGATATCATGTGTTACATAAAACACACTGACACACATGTATTCATTTTTCGGTGCATTTTGTTACATTTCCAAACAAAAAGGTTGTACCAGGTTATGAACAAGAAAGCAGTTCAACTAAATAACAATTATATCTTTTCTCATGCTGTGTAATTTTCCTTGGTACTTCTCACTCAGGGTCCAGAATTGCTCTATACCAATGTCTACATGGCTGTAGCTGCTAATTTCTGGGTGGGGGTCAGTTTAAAGAATCACAAATATGAGGACAATCATGTGTATTAAAGAGGAATAATAATAAGTGATGAAAAGTATAAGCACTATATAAATATTTTTATTACTTACTTACTTACTTATATCTCAGTGCAAAACCAGTTATTATCAACTGCCCAAAAACTGTTCAATCAAAACTTTGGAAATGTTGGATGGTTCAATTGGCAAAATTTTTTTGTGAGTTCGATGTTGTGTGATCATTTGTTTGGCCATCAAACTTAATCATTTGATTAATTTTGATTGATTTTGATTACCAAATATTTGACATATAGGTACAATGTACGTTGGGCATTTGACATTTGACATGAAAAGAAACAAATGGAAAAAAAAATAGTTAAATGAATAAATAACCCTCTGTTCTGCTGCTATGATGTTTTAATAAATGAATAAATAACCCTCTATTCTGCTGGTATGATGTTTTCACTACTTTAAGTTATGTAGCTACAGTTATTTTTGCTATTTCTTCTTTTAAAATAGGATATTCATACGTCTAGAATACCATCGCATGTTCCTTCTTGTGGACATCTATTACATAGGTAAGTAACTTACATGATCAGATTAGTGTAGCTAATGCTTGGACATACAGGAAGAATTTTGATGTTGACCAATGTGGATTTAGTCTGCTCTATGGCCATTCTTTGTGTCATCACATATCGCTCCTCCCCACAAATAGCTGCAATGACGTTACTGAGGGAGTAATAATGACTTGAAGTAATCGGATGAAATTCAGGCTATCGGTATTAAAACAAGCGATCAATCTAGTGTTGTCTCTGTAGTCCTATTCAAACTAAATTATAACATTGTTAAGCAGCAGCAGCAAGCAAGTTGAGCAAATGTAGCAAAAAGCAATGATCAATGTGTTAATGTGAAGTTGCCAGGTGCCAGTTTGGAAATTGCTTACCAATAAGTTATTAGCGTGTTTTTGTGTGAACTAAACCCTTGAGAGTTTATAAGTACTTCATGAAAGAACACTAACAGCACATCCAGCACAGGAAATACATCAAAATTTAATATGCACAGTGGAAGTAAAAGTCGTGCAGGCCCCTATCAAACCCTTTTTTATCTTTAGGAGCTTTGGTAACCTCCTTTAAGAAACATTTCTGAAGATGAACCTTTTTTCTGCTATTGGACATATTTGTTGAAAACTGAGAAGCCTGTTCGTTTCCAAGCACAAGCAGAAAGAGAAAGGAATGTGGTTTTGTTTGTGGTGAAGAGCATTGTGTGATGACACAATTTTTCTCAAACTTGTTTCTGATGTAGAGTGCCATTATTTAACTAGTAGATGTTTCACTTACAAGTTGTTTTTTGCAGAAATGCATTCCATTATTTCTCCTTGATTTGGTGGAGGGGGTATCATCTTGTACCAAATTTTAAAGTTTATAATCTAAATGTAGTTCATTTTATATTGTACAGTTATCTTGCAATCTAGTCTTTGAATTCTTATGAATTTTTATATATTCTTAAAATTTCTTCATTTACAGTACCTGTTTTTCAAAGTTACTGGAGTCGGGGTATGTCAGTATTAGCCAGTTTATTTATATAAAATGGCCTTATTTGAACTGTTTGTCATGAGATGTTATTATCCACAATCAGAGTTATTATTTCTTATTGCGCTGCACGTGAGTAAAGGGCAACGCCCAATTAAGTTTTGAGCAGCATGTTTGTCGAAAAAAGACAAAACGGTGGAGACATAACCTCATTTGTTCTAACTAAACTTTATGGTCATTTGTATTCGGCATAACCTTGATGTAAATTCAGTGCCCACAAAAGAAATAAAGTAAATAAATTTGACTATAAATACAAACTTAAGGTTCATCTTACGGACCTTAGCAGATAAAGAGAAACAATTAGAGGGCAAGCCGGTGATTTGGTAGATTTTTATCTCTTGCCATGCTCAGTAAAAACCAGTGTTAACTGGGCACATTTAATGGGGCATTCATCTTCTTGGTAGTCCACCACTTGCCACTATGTCAGAAGCCAAAGCAATGGGAGGCACATACAATGTAGCTTTTATAAATAGTAATTGTTTTAATTGTTTTGCTTCATGTTTTTGTAAAGCCAATTTTTTCCCCTCTTGACCTTGTCAGCCATTTCTTTGTTTTAGGGGGTATGCTTGTCCAATATGTAACAGATCTATGGTTGATATGAGTCGTGCATGGCGGATGTTGGATAATGAGATAGCACGTACACCAATGCCCGCAGAATATAATAATTTCAATGTTTTGGTAAGTTAATGATTTTCTGTTATAAACCAGTTGTTTCCTTGAGCTGTTTATAATAGTGGCCAACTTTTTGTGGGAATTTCCTCCGTATTGTGAGGAGTTGTTAGAATTCTTAGCATTGCAAATTGCTGACCCATTCACCCCTAAAGGTGGCCATAGAAAAAAAGCACGGACAATTTTTTTATATTCTTTCATTTTGTAAAATCTTAGCGAATAAATGGTCTGTTGCAGGCGTTCAGATAATAGAGTGTAGCTTGAACTCAGGAAGCAGGGGAATAAATGGAAAAGGGGGAGAGGGGAGTGATCCCCACCCCCTCCCCTCACTGCTATTGGATTTTGTCTTTAGATTTATAAGTTAGTGGCAAATCATTTCGCCATAACTTAATCTAGGAGTGTAAGGAAAAAGTAAGGGAAATTTTGCTTAGTCAACAATGGTCTGAACATTATTGTTTTCATTGCAGATTCTCTGTCGTGATTGTCACAAGGTAGGCTGTACTGATGTAATTTCTTAAAGTTTTTAATTCTCTTAGAGGACACTATGTTATTTCGTCCAATAAGCCCCCAAGCTGCGGTAATCACCGACCTCTTTGGCCAAACTAGTAAATATAAGCTTTTCTTGTGATCAGAACCCCTTCCAGGCCTCCTCTGGCTTTTTTTTGTGTAGGGAAATATAGGAAACACCTGCATTAAGAACATTACGCGGAAAGTTGGCTAATAAAACACCATAAATGTATATATAACAACCAATTCTGTCTGATAAATAAAACATATTCTTATATAAAAAGGAAGAGGGTGAAAGTATAAGAAACCATTACAGTAACTCGTATCGTTAAAGTACAAAGGTGTGCTGGACCATTCAAACTCTAAGAGCCATATAGTACGTAACAGTACGTAATAGTAAGTACCCGTAAGTAATTAAACATTGGATGTTTTTTTAACATCCTCGTTGATCTGCGTAATTCTTCACATCCTAGTATATGCGGGTGTTTGTACTGTATATCACAAAGAAAGCCTTTTTTCTCAAATTTTATTCTTGAACTTCTTTAGCACCATTACAGGAGAACTGTTACTTCTCCATTAAGTACAGATTTTCTTCATATCAAGATTATTTTAATCAAAATAAAGTTTCAGTTTGNTAATTCTTCACATCCTAGTATATGCGGGTGTTTGTACTGTATATCACAAAGAAAGCCTTTTTTCTCAAATTTTATTCTTGAACTTCTTTAGCACCATTACAGGAGAACTGTTACTTCTCCATTAAGTACAGATTTTCTTCATATCAAGATTATTTTAATCAAAATAAAGTTTCAGTTTGTTGGGAGAAGAACTTAATAAATTAACCACCCTCCTTCGAGTAGACTTTCCTTTTTTGGTGCAGCTAGTTTAGGAAAAACAGTTCTAACTTAAGTATTGTGTTTTGTATCAACCTTCTAACAAATACGCTTTCTTAGAGAAGTGAGGAAAAACGTATCGAACCTGCATAATAGGTTGATTTAGCTATGACTCTGACGTTGAAAAATTGTCTTTTGTCTATCTGTCTATTTTTGTTATATTGTGCTGAAATGAGGACCCATTTCTCGGAAAACCAACTTATTTTTTTCTGCATACTTCTCTTTCTTGTCAGAGTACAGCGATTTTCTTCTTTTTCAGGAAAGCAAGGTCAAATTTCATGTCGTTGGTCTAAAATGCGCAGAGTGTGGTTCATATAACACCAGCAGAGAAGGAGAGGAGGGTGTTCCTGTGATGCCACCACCGATACCAGTAGCGGCTGTCGCAACAGAGGCTGCAGAGGGCGAGGATGAATGGGAAACAGAGGAAGAGGAAGAAATAGTAGGAGGAGATGCAGAGCAAGAAAATGAGGAACAAGGACAGGATGATGGAGTAAACTTAGCTGAAGTACAGTTAGATATGGATGGAGACAGTAATAATGTTCTTCCTTTGGACTAAGGTCTGAAGCTTAAAATATTTCAAAATGGTCTTTTGCAGTGCAGGTGTATGTGATATAGCGCTTTGTCATATGAGCCTTCTACTCCAGAACTAAGATACTGGAACTACGGTTTTGCAAAGCTGGTCTTTTACTGTGCAATTGTGATATGGTCTTATTGAAACTATACCTGTTGAAAGACTGGTCTCATCAGTGGCACCATGGTATTGAAACTGTCGTATATGAGGCTGGTCTTTAACTATGCGATTATGATTATGTCAGTCGTGAGACAAGTTTTAACAGTGGAAGCTCTGTGTTGTTTGGTCTACATGTTGTATAATGTGTACTTACAAGTCTTTTAGTGCAACTATATAAGGACCTATCCGCACTAGCAGACAAATTTGGAGTTATCTTTGAATCATTAAAACCAAAAGTTTTATGGTGACTCTCGTTACATCTGACAACACTTGCATTTAAAAAACGGAAGGAATAATGGCTTGTCCAGTTTTTACCCGATGCAAATTTTTGTAAAATCAAAAATTTGTAAAATGGCGACAAACTACTCGCGTTGGTGATGACAGAAAAATTGTTTAAATAAACAGCTTTTTCGCTAGTGCAGATAGGCCTTTAACATAGAAGCCTGTTCCAGGCTCTCAGATAGTAGGGATGACGCGCAAGTGTAAGGCTATCAATATAGCTGTTGTAACACTGGAATGATCTTGTAGCTGATCTGTTGTAAGACTGGTCTACTTTGGAACTATGATTATTGCAAGTTACATCTGTGTCGCAAGATTGGTCTGGTACCGAGAAACTGTCGTACATGTATATATCAGTTACAAGACTGGTCTTCTACGGTAAAGCTATGATTTGTTCTTGTCGTTGCTATATTTTTAGAAAATTGTTATTATACCATCTTATGTGAATCGTTTGTCTTAATTGGAAGGTTTTACACACTCGTGGCAACTATGCTGTCCTCATATACGGTAATAAACACAATTACAATTAAAAGTGTTTTACTTCATTGTTAAATATACTAATAGCGTTCTTTTATTTCACTCGGGTTATGTTTATTTAAAGGCTGCAAAAGCATAGGAGATACTGCTGATACGCTGGTCTTGATAAAAAGAACGTGGTTCTGTCAAGCCTATTTCCCTGGCTTACTCGTCCCCATAGTTCACTGAATCGTACAAACTTGTCCACTGTAGTGACATTCATCTGAAACCGTCAATCCAAATCAGTTAAAAAGTAAATACTCCAACGCCCTTACTAATCCCCAATTACTGCTAGTGTTTGGTAATTGACACTGTGATAATTAATTGATAGCGTGAATTTCGATGTAGAGGATGGGGCGAGGGAGGGGGGGCGTTCCGTGGAGCAAAACGCGTAAAAGAGGGGAGGGTCAGAAAGCTTTTTCATATACACAAGTTGGCTCATGATCATGGTAGTCTTTAGTGTTGCTTCTAATGTGAGATTTAATGTGCCGAATTCATCACCATTAGAAGTGAAATTGCCTCTAGGAAGACCGTCTTTAATGTAATTGCAAGAGATACAGTTTTTACAGCAACGGAAAGAGCTATTAATAATGGTAGTAAGATTTTGAGATCCTCCAATTCTGTCTGTAATCATATTGAGTGATTACCAAAATTGAACGACCGCGTAGCGGGAGTCGGATCTGTTACCGTCACGAGTATGATTACGTGGTCGTCCGATTTTGTTAATCACTCGTATGATTACAGACCGAATTGGACGACCTGAATTGCTAGTATCAGTTAATAAATTAATCAGACGATGTGAAATTTAGCCTGCGTAGCTGGCGGTTTTATTAGAGCGCGCGATGCTCCCCGGGGCGGTGCTATCTGAAATTGGAAGACCTGCATTCCTATTATCAATTAATCAAGCGATATGATATGATATGATATGATATGAGGATGGGCTCCTGGAAAAATCAATGGGAGCTTCTAAGAAGAAATTAGAATTTCTCCATCTCTCCGTGGGCTTGTTATTTAACACTTTTTTATGATCGCTTTCTTTTTGTTCATCATGATCATTAGATAACGTGCACCACGATAGAGCTCAATAACGTCCAGGGATCAGAGCAGCATCGTCCCCAGGGCGCTTTTCCCAAAGCCAGGGAGAAGCGTCCTGGGGACGAGGTTGGGGTCAGCGGCGCCAAACGCGGGCGATCGCGTGGGAAACCTGGAGCCAATCGGTGGGCTGTTTCAAATAGCCGACGTTTATGGGGTTTTCCTGTAACAAAAACAATACCAATGATTCAGCTCTGTGTTGAATGGTTAAGAATGTTTTTTATGTTTTAAGACAGCCACGTCGATCATCTTTAAAATTTCAGTTTGAGCAATTTTTCGTTCCATCTGTAACAGGGTGAAATTTTAGCTTGACCGAGACTTCACAAACCGTCGGTGAATAATTCACGAGTGACGTAACGAACATGCACAGTGCGTAATCAGTTTGTTTTATTTATCTTAGAGTCTTGTCTCATTGCCATGTTGCGCTCGGGTTTTTATATAATTTTCTGGTTACCACTTGGTCCCGTTATAGTTTTGCTTATAAAGCTTTAATTTTTCGCGGGTTAACAAAAGGTCCCACTGCTTCAGTGGAGTTTTCATTTTTCGCGGGTTCACAAACGTTCCCCCTTGTGTACTGTCGAAGGTTTTTATTTTCACGGACTATCACAAGGTCCCGCTTATTCGCTGATTTTTATTTTCGCGGGTTTACAAAAGGTCCCGCTTGTTGATTGAAGGTTTCTATTTTTGCGGGTTAACAGAAGCTTCCACTCGCTATTACTGTTTTTGTCTTCGTGGGTTAACAGAAGGCCCCGATTGTTTATTGAAGTTTTTGTTTTCGCAGATTAACAGAAGCGGTCCAGTTTGTTTATTTCGGTTTTTATTTTTCTCGGATCTGAGGACAGAGTCCGCTTGTTTATTGGAGTCTTTTATCTCCGTGGGTTAACAACAGGTCCCGCTTGTTTTTTGAACTTTTTAGTCTACATCATGAACTTTTTGTTTTGTGAACTTTCTATATTCTCCAAGTAGTAATTTGTTGCTACGTTTTAGTGCACTTACTCCCCATAGATGGTTCGGTTTTTCTTTTACTCACATGGGTCGCTTGTTCCATTTGTTTCCTGGTATACGGGTCAACCCGGTTGTTCTCCCTAATTTCGCCGTTTCCCTCTAATTCCCAATGGTGGCGCATGGAGGGGTGACTTACACTCTCTCGGATTACTGGGCGCTAGGGCCGCCAATCCCCTGGCGGTTACATCTTAGTTTTGAGCCTTTTTGGGGGGATTACCCTTGGTATCCCCCTTTTTTCCCTTAGTTGTTTTTTACAGTTTCCAAACGTATTTTTCCATTACCGGGGAATGGTGGCCTGAAATTTCTTTTCAGTACCTGTTTTCTTTGCTCTTTCATTCATAAGCCTAAAAAGCGTATAAAAGCGTATTTTCTGGCCCTTTTCTCCGACCGCTATTATGGGAAGGTTTTGTAGTTCCTTGACTAAAGTTGACAAGTCCTTGCGTAAGAGCCTCGTTCTTCAGTCCGTGCCGTGCCCGGTTCCACCCCCTTGACCTGTCTCAGATGCGGTTGGATTGGCCATTACGCGAACCGCTGTAGGTTTCAGCCTTACGCTCGGCGAGGCGCCGCAACTTCTGCATTTGGCTAAAGACCTCAGTTCCGTTAATTATTATTATGTTTTCATTTTGTTGGCGGCTCCTCTTGCACAATAAAATAAAGTTGTTCGATCTGCGTCCTTTGCGTCTTGTTCTGCCTCTTATGTAGTTCACCTTCGCGTTCGCCCAAGTACATTCTTGTATTCGTACATCGTTTTGTTCGCTGATTCTCTTGCATTGTGCATCGTGATGCACATTACCGACTCTACGTCATTTTTTGCCTCATTAGCGCACAAAAATCGTCTAATTAAGAATGCCCTTGCTTCCCTATATGGCAAACAGGCTTGATAGGTCTTCAGTTGGTAGGTAGTACTACGTATACACGGATTTAAAGACTTACTTAGTCCATTATATATCTTACGCGAGTATGGCCATGGTCAAGCTCTGTGATTGAAACAATCCAATCCTGACCTGAAACGTGGCCGTTATGGCGAGGTTCAATCGTAGTCTGCTTCAAGCAATTTTTAACTTAGCTTTGACGATGCTCACAATATTACATTTATGTGGTTGATGTCCGATTTAAGCCAGCACGCCTTTTTCCCCTGCAAGCTGTTTCACAGTTTTACCCTAACGGGGTGGTGCAAGATAAGCGGAAGGGAAAAACAACGACAGACTTTGAAGGAACAACCTACTTTTGAAAGCGAACGTTGGTGAGCCGGATAAGAAGTTCTCCGGCTATTTATAAGCTTTACATTTGCATATTTCTCCTTTATTGAAAGCTCGAATGATGCTTTTTTTTTAATGAAAAGTAACATCGATCTAAATAAGGGGGTGATCGATCTAAATAAGGAGAAATAGGGCTGGTAGTTTTACCTTTTAGAGGCCACGCTCCGACAAAAGGTTTCACTATACAGTGGAACCTTGTGTAACGAAGTGCCGGCAAAGGACTGGGAAAATTTGTTCGTTATATCGAAAACCTCGATTTAACGAATTTTTGGGAAAACAAGCATTTCAGGATCCGAACAATTTCTGTAATAGACATTTGTATGCGAAACTCGTGAGTTGTCTCAGTTCAGAGCTGTACATATATATAGCTACGGCACTGGAAACACAAGAACAGGCAAACAAAACTGCTTAAAACTACTGTACACATAAATTTTATCCTGGCTCGTTGGTCTGTTTCGCATTCATCTTTAGCTATCTTTCGGTCACAATTTGTTGACATTTATTCGTTATATCGAGATATATTCTACGTTTGCGTTTCTGGATAGTGTTCGTTATAAAGAGGATTTCGTTAGATCGAGGTTTGTTAGATCGAGGTTCTGTTCCATATATTTTATTGTAATTTTGGCCGGGCTGAAGAAAATCGTTCGTTTACCGAGGATTTCGTTATATAGAGGT